ATCATTCAATTTTCTCACAGATTTTAAAATCGCATTGAATGATTGTTGTTTTGTGCAAAAGTTTTCAGAAGGATCAGTGTGTTTGTCTTCCGATAGGTGGCGCAGGGATTGAGAGCTATCCTAAAAATTCATACTTATGATCATATTTGTTTCACTTTTAGAACACATATTAGTAACATTAAATTTGGTGTAACTTGGTAGCCCAGTCGTGTGATTAAAAAATATTGGGCTTTGGCCCAGTCTTGACAAAAACCCGTGTGAAACCGGCGCTAGGGAAGGAAATATTATCTTTTGTTGTAAACCTTTCTCAACCGTTAACGATTTTGATGAAAAAAAGAAAGAGTTTATGTAGATGTGGGCAATTTAGTTTTTAACCTCCAAGAGGCTCTCAAACAAATATAATCGAAAAACTTATTTACAGTCTGAATTGGTATCTGTTTGACATATTAGTCAGTGATGAACATCTCATCTATACATACAAATACATATGCATATTTTTAGTAAATGAAAATCGAGGTTCCTTTTTCGGTCTAATTTCAAAAGCTACTGAAGAAATTTGGAGGAAACTTGGTAGAATTACCATTAATCTATTCGGTATTAACGTTCATAATTCGATTTTAAGTTTTCTGTAAATTCGCTATAAACTATGCTGGTCGACTTCAAAATAGTAATTCGCATAAAGGAGTCAGTATTGGTGACAGTTAAAATTCAAAATTTTATGAAAAAATATGTCGAATTTCGACAACTGGGCGATACTAGTTAGCTTAGTTAGTTACTAATTTATCGCAGTTTTCGTATATCTGTAAATTACCGTTATATGGGAGGTGGGCGTGGTTCTTGTCAAACATTAATTCGCTTGAAATTTGGATCCTAGATAGCTTAGTGCCGCGATTCACATATACTATATGTCATATAGGATAACCTTTTAAGGTAGGTGGATCAGGGACCACAGTATTTTTTGTTATGGCCAACGCAGGCGCCGCGAACCAAGCGGGTATTTTCTAGTATATATGTGTGTATATAAACCGAATCCTTTAAGCCTTTTGGAAAGTAATTACTTTAGAATTTAATTTTTATTTGAAAACCAACAGCATTAGTTATATATATATAAAATAGCCATAAATAGACTAAGTATATCAGAGAAACAAAATTTACATTTTGCAGGCCTGTGTTATTAGTCAAGCGAAAATTACAATTTAATTTGCCCAGATCAAATGTGTTTTTGGTCCAAGCCTTGACATACGTACATTTTTTAAAAGTGACATAGTGGGTTTTGAGATATTGCTCAAAGGACCACCTCTACAATTTCGATTTATACATGTACATATACCTATAGCCCATCCAAATCATTTATACTAATGTTGGGACCTTTTCCAAAGCTACTTATTTTTCCCCCTTTCTACTACTTTTAAAATGCATGCCACAATTCAGACAGTCTACCCTTTGGTGAATTCGTACTGACATCACCTTCTCTTATTCCACCATGACATAAGAAATTGTATGTAAATAAAACACCAATTTTTCAGATAGTTTTTAGTACAGAGACCTTAAGTTTACTTGTACATGAAAAAATTTGTAACTCCCCTCCCTCCTGTCTCACTCTTTATATGGTATCAAGGCATGATTCAATAATAAAAGGTTTGCTCAGAAAACAGTTTTCTCGCTCCCTCTTGACAAAATCGGCTCCCTTAGCAAGGGAGTGTCAAAACTCTAATGTCATTAATTAGCAAACCTTTATTTATTGAATCATCGAAGCACTCATTGCTTTGTGTGCTTTGTGGATCAAATTCTTGTAAAAAAAAAATTG